GCAGGAACTCTTGGGGCTGCTCTGAACTTGTACCTATCAGTATTACTGAATGCATTTCAATGACTTTTATACTGGGAGCAGTAACAACTTATACCCTTTTTATCTAAACAGAAAGACATTCTTTTCATTACAAGATACTTCCTCTGTTACAATGCATTAGGAACAAGTGGCTCCTGAAAGAACCTTCTGCAATCTGGGAATTGACCTGTTGCACTCACAAGCCATGGAAAGAAAACCAGCATCACGCAAATGTGCACCCTTTGGACTTAATGGCACCCACAGACAACAGTATTGATAAATTAGGGAGAACAAAAGGCTCTCCCTTTATACCATAAGTGGGTTCCAAAGCTATCTCTATGGTATTGTAAAACTTTCAACCAGTCTGGTACCACTTTATGTTATCAATTCAACTAAAAGGAAAATTAAAAATAAAACCTGTTTTACAATTTGTAAGGATTTATCTAGTATTGATTTCATTGTTAATGAGCTACTCTCACTCTTCCAACACTTCACAGATGCACATCATCACAATTTCATTGCACTCATGAACTAGCTTTCTTATAAACTACTATTCCTGAACAGAATATGGGGTGATGGTTTGGGGTTTTTGTCTTGGTTTGGGTTTATTTTGTTATTTCAAAGTGAATGTGCTTCCCAGTGCCTGAAGAACAGAAGTAAAAATAATGAAGTTTTTAGAGAGCCTTTCCAGTGACTGCATTAGTCCTCCTGTTCTTCCACATTCTTGCAGAACATGCTACACTGTAAATTTTCAAAGAGAATTACACTCAAAAGGGTGAGCAAGCCACTGCTTTCAATTTCTTAAATTCTCCTTTGCCAGAATGCAAGGAAGAAGTGCATTTTCCTTTGTGTAAAATTTTAGTTAAACACATCTCCTAATGCCGAATGTTGCTTTAGAGGGCAAAATAGGAAGCATGGTTTCCCTTTATTATTATCAGAAATAAATCTTTCCATCACTTGACACCGAAAGCAGAAAAAGGAAATTTTAAAGATGTGGCATAGAGTTAAAAAGGAAAAGGAAATTATACATACAAAGGTTTAGGAAATAATTAATTGTTTGCATTAGAAAATCAAGGCCAGTAACTGATCTCACTGCTGAGGTTAATTTATCTTACAGGAAGGGAAAAAATGAATACTATTCCCTATTCCAGTCATCCTCTTCCTTGTTTTGATTAGTGTTTTTCACTTGCCAAGGCATATTCTTTTGGGGGTACTTTTATAGCTACACTCCATCATAATGGTCTTGCCTACACTGATTGCTGCCAGAATCTTCAACCAGCACACTTCAAAGGATGCAGCAAGCTGACAGAAACTACTTCAGATATCTGGCTCTCTACATGTCCTTTCATCCCTTCTCTTATCTGGCTGTGGCTGCTCATCTAGGGCTATGACTCCTTTAGTTCTGTCTGAGATGGCTCTCCCTCAGGTTGCTCTGGGTCTGGCTGCTCCCTTTGAGATGCAGCTGCCTTGTTTCTCCATTTTATCAGAGCCGGTTGTTCCATGCTGATTGTTGCTCCTCATGTTATTCTTGCTGCACTCTCTCCTCCTCTGATGCTGCAGCTCTCTAGGGCTATGATTCCTGCTGTCAGTTATTTCTGGTGTGGAAAGGCTGTCACGCTTTTTGCTTTGATTTAACAATTCTCAGTTCTACTCTTGTGTTCAACAGGCTATATTTTCTACTGCACTTGGGATATAACCACTTTTCCCGTCATTGTGGGAGGACACTATCTCACTTCCAGCTGCACTAGGAAGACATATGCACTCTCTGATGCAACTTGAGAGCCTTGAATCATCTACCAGTACTGTTTATTAATGAACTATCACGACTTCTCATTTTTCTCTACTTATTTGTGGCCCTAGTGGAGGATGACATGCTTCTATCTGAAGAACGATGCTTTTCAAAGAGGCAAAATTTACCCTCAACTGTTTAAGTGGGAAAACATTGTGTGCTGCCAGGCTGTAGTGTCTTTTTCACTCTGCTTGTGGGATTACCTGAATACCATTCTTCAGGGGTTTATGCCATGGACTTCTTCACACATGAAATCACCAAGGATGAGAAAGTGGAAATGAAAAATATATTCAACTCTGAGGCAATCAAATAGCACATTTTCAAAGGCCATTTCTGCAATGTGTAGAAAAAGGCGTGTCTTCAGAATGACATCTGAGTGTCTAGCAGAGATGGGTCTTTTCATGGTGTCTGATTTATGCCATATTTATGACAGTAAAGACAATGAAATAACAATGACATTCTATGACTGAACATTCATTTCACTGAACAAAAGCTATAGGGGAGAAAGTTTCATCATTTCAATATCATTTAGAAAATTGTGAAGAGATAATAGAGATCACATGAGCAATCCTAGGGCTTAGGGAGCACAAGATGGACATTTTAAAAAAAAGTTAAAAGACAATGAAAAAAAAGTCCAGATACTCCACATAATGGTAAACTGTTTAAAATATTTTATTTAAGACAGTAGAAAAGTCCTCACTGATGGTCCTGACCCAAAGTTTAGTGGAGTTGACAGAAAAAAAATTCCTGACAGCTTAATATTTTAAAGCAATTTAAAAAGTCACTCAACCAAAGACAACCAAAAAGTCACCCCAGAAACACCAGTAATAATTTCCCTCCAGCAGGGTTCATTGTGTGACAAGTGCTTTGTGGCACCTGAAAATACTTGAGCACACACCTGACCAGGTGAAATCCTTCAGTGTAATTTTACAATTTGGATTTTATTGACATACTATTCAGCACAGTATTTATACTGGCAGACACTAGAGAGCTAGAGGAATAGGTTCTATTCTGAATATCTAATAAATGGGCTTATTTCCATAGCTGATTTTCAGTGTAAGAAATGCATGCATGCATGTAAGATTTTGTAGGAAAGAAACAATGTAAGATGTAAGATATGTTGCATTTGCTCTAATTTATCCTCAGAAGGAGCAGTGTCAGGTGTTTCAAGGAAGGTACACAAACACTGAAAAGAACACCTACACAGTAAGTCAGGAAAGCTTCTTCCTATTAAACATTCCGCTTGTATGCTGATAATTAAACTTCTATGCTTCCTATTAAACAATTAAGCTTGTATCTTAAACCAAAGGATGAACAGCTACAGAGAATAGCAGACAAACAAACTACTAGACAGGTATAAAAAGACTTCAAAAGTGAAAGAGTGGTTATTTTAATCTCCTCACCTATGAAGATGTGTAAGTAAATTCTTCCATTGCCAATCTCTACGGTAGTTTGCTAGATCTGGTAACTGGGCTCAAAATTTACAGGATCATGCCCTGATATGAACAAATCCAATGTCAACTAAGACTCAGGAGAATTGGCCACCAGAGCAGCTAAGTGGAGAGATGCTGCTGTATCCACTGGGCATGGCCACTGTTATACTGAAAAAGGAACATTTACATAGATAAATACAAGACCAAGATTGTACTGTAATCTCCACAAAAAATAGACTGATCCTATTAGCCTACATAAAATAGCTATCAGTATACAGATGTGTCCTATTGTCCTATTTGTCATTTCAATGTAAATGAAAATTACTTGATGGTTGCAGAGTGTTCATAAAATTGTCATGTACTACAGTTAACTATAAGATAGTACTGTTACTGCATAAATTAGAAAAAGAATTATATTTAAATATGAAGATAAGATACTCATGTGAGATAAGCCCCTGAACCTACCAAGGTTTCTATGACCAGAAAGCATAGATTGAAAGATTTAAACAACAGGAATATTCAGTATGCTAAAAGCTGCTGGCTGTTAGAGCTTAATTGACCTAGAGCAATACTTTCCAGTACAGCTAAGGGATTTTTGAAAATGTTACTTGGACTCTTGAACAACTTCAGCATTTTAAAATCTTTCCCTAAGTATTTTGTGGTTTTTTATTACATCATAGGTACATATTACATGGCCACATATACCCACACACACATACACACACCCTCTCATTTGCCCATTCTTAAAGGCATATGATCCTTTCATGCAAGAGGACCAAGGAGAAGTTATTGTGGTCTAGGAATAACTTATGACTACAGGAGAGAATAACATCTCTTTTTCAGCCCAGAATGAGCCCTGGATAAACTGGAGATTCAGTCACCAAGTCAGTTCTATGCTGCCTTGCTACAGTCTGATGTTAGGCAGAAAATGATGCAGAAGAAAAGATTATTAGACACAAAGGCTATAGTCAAAAGACTCCTGCAACTGAATCATCATCAGAGAGCTCCGGTACAGGAAGGCTGCAGGCAGTAACCACTGTGTCACACAGCAAACACATTTGGCCACGATACCCAGGCAGAGTTTCATATGCCATAGTCTGTAGCAGAGAATAAGCATGTGGTATGATGGGAAACACCAGCTTTCATGCCATGTACTAACAGCGAGCCCAATCATGTTATGGAGGAGAGGAAACCTCTCACTCCTGCACAGAAGCTGTTGAATCCAGAAACTGGTCAAATTTTATTTTCAAATCATTGAAATGAAATTTAAAATGGCTTGAATTTAATACATATTGCATCACCACACCAGAAGGCAGTTTTTCCACTCTCAATGTTCAGCAAATGACTTCAGAGTTTTCACTAGCTGACAGAAAAACTCTCATGCGTAGAAAAAACTTTACTGTTAAATTTAGCCCTTGCTAAGTTTTCTAGAGAGTTTCAGCAAGAGAAAAACTACATATTCTTCTGCTTTTTAAATCATCTAACATAGTTCAGACCCTGTCACAAAATAAATAGTAATAAAAAGCCCTAAATCTTCTTACTGAATTCTGACAGCCTCCCAAGTTTATTTATAACATTTACTAACACTTGATATGTTGAACGTAATTGGCTATAATCACTGTAGAATATTCCAAATGCATTCCACACAGATGAGTTTCCCATATGTAGTTTTACAATGGTATTTCTTTTACAGATGGAACACAATCTTCTTATAGCTACTGACATATCAGTATCATATAGATAAGCTTAGTTAGTCTCACCTTTTTATAGGCAATCCAGTCAAACACCCTGTCGATGTCTGAGGCCTGCTGCACTTCCTGGGATACTGGATGTGAACTGGACAATCCATCCAGCAACATTACTTCATGTAAGACATCTGTCAGAAATCTCTGTTTTTCCTGAAATACAGCATATACAGTAGTATCACAGACAAATACATACTTACAGAAATATAGAAATGATGCACAGTTACCAGAGGCAGTCGACTTCTGCAAGCTGAATAAAATTAGACCTTCTGCTTTGAATGTAAACCATAAACAACCATGACCTCCTACAGTCTTCAGCAGGTATTTGGAATAGACTCAGATTTGAGATCCTTCACTGCAATGAAACTTGACTGAAATTAAAGAGCATTAAATGAATCAAAATGCATCCATATATGCAGACTGGAATACTGATTATGACTAGTCATACACACTTACAAGGGGTGGGGAGAGAGGCAAACTGGCAAAATCTTCAATCACAAAAACAGCTGCTACAAGTCCTCGAGCTCATTGCCTATGCAGGTACAAAAATTTTTTGACAAAGATGGGTAAATACAATTAGTGCTTTTTTATTTGGTGAAGTTTAAGTTACTTGGCTCTTAGTGACAAGTTCACATAGCAGATCAGTGTGGGACAGGACACTGAAGAGAGCTCACAGCAATGTCACAGCACGTGCACTTCTTTCATAACTCTAGTATAGAAATCCTTCCTCCTCAAGAGCTCGAGCCATCTACAAACTTTGTAACTTTCATCAGAAGGAAATCATTATCATGGAAACCATTTTCTCTTTTCACAAGTGGGAAAAAAGTTGCATGTAGTTAAATGACATGGCCAAAGTCACAGCTACATCAGAGGCAGGTACAAGCCCAAACAATATCCAACATATGCATTTGTTTCAATACCTTCTATAAATATGGATAACAGAGGCATTTCAAAACTGCTCCCTATTTACTCTGGCAGCAACATTAATGAAATGTTCATGTATACTATATGCATTGTGCTGCACTCATTTGTTCACAACTAGATGAGGTTTTCTCAGCTGAGAAATGACATGCCCTTAAAACTCCTCATATTGCATTCATGTAGATGTCTTTTATCCAAAACACCATGTCAGGAAAGAAGAGCTTTATTTACTTGCTTTTTCAAGTCACAAATAATTGCATAGAGTGAATTAAAAATTACGTAAGGTTTAAATTAGCTTTTTCACCTGAAATGACATAACTCAAATTTTATCTAAATTATAACAATTCCTGAATCAATGTCAACCTACTGCCATGATATAAAGAAACTCTGGGGGATGCTGCATTTTTATAAAAGCCACCTTGATGTCCTCAGGTAAAATACGCACACAATTACATAATAAATTCTATGTTTAATTTATTGGGTGGCAAGGCTTTGGTATCAATGTGTTACTCTAAATTATTTTTATAAGACAGCTGAAAAGCTTTTCCAATGCTGATCTACCTAGAAATAAACCTTTATGTTAAAATTCATTAGAGCACAAGAAATGTACCTTGAGCTGGCTGCATATCCAGGCAATTAAAAACACAGGGTGCAGGAAAGCCAATTACCTACACAATCTTAGTGCTCTCATCTGGCTGCATGAGGTAAGGTTTGTAAAACAAAAAGTAATGTCTTTTTCATATCATTGTTAATTTCCAAATTTTCTCAGGCATAAGCAGTTAGTAACTGTCCTTTCTTAATGGGAAAAAAAGTGTAGAGAAACAATTATAATGACAGTCCTACTCAGGGGGAAACTGCTGAGGTGTAAAAATTGTAGTTATTTTGGTTACACTTCACTCACGTTCTCTATCTGTTAGTAACAAAGCCCCAGTTTCATCAAATGTATGGTATGTAACACATACAGATGTGAACACACAGACCTGTCTCCAAATTTAGGTTTGGATCCCAGAAGACAAACAGTTGTGTGATGGATTTTGTGCTTGGAATTAACTCATTGAAAGGACTCCGGATTTAAGGATTAATTCCTTAAATACAGAACCAGAATCAAGAAAATCAGCACATGGCAAACATAAAGTGCAGCTGTAAAAACAAAACTAAGAAACATATAAAAAGAACAGGCTACATTTTGGTGTTCCATTTGTTTCTTTGGTTATGTCCTGAAGAGCTGAAAAGGAGAACTTCAGATTCATGATTGGTCATCCAAGTTAGCACAGCTGAAAAGCCTTCCTTGAAATATTTACGGTGGATTGTCACACTGGGATACATATGGAATAGTTAGTATGCCTCCAAAAATGCAAACCTACAGTGAGAATTAAGAAGGCTTTTGACTTATAAAGCTAAATTTATTGAACTAAAAGGATTTCCATAACATTCCCAGCCTTTCCCTTTAGTATAAAACCCCTGAGATCAGACTGGAGAAGGAGACTCAAATATAACTCGAGGGAGGGACAGATAGACTGCCGTTTGACAAGGGACCTGAAGCTTGAAGAGGCAAGAAGCAGAAGTGCAGAAAGAAACTAAAACTGCCTTAATTATGTTGACGAAACACTACCTCAGCTCTTGAAATCCTAATATCAAATTAAGGGGAAAAGGTCAATACGTGTGCCCAAGCTGCTTACTTAGACTGATGGAAGAAGGGCTTTCTATTCCCTAGTTATTTTACCCAATGCATACAGTGGAATTGATCTGTTTTAACTGACACCTACAGGAGTAAAGAAATACCCAGGACAGAAATTGTAAAGGAAATCAATCTTGGAATGTGTCTAATGAGACCAGCAAGCCGGCAACATGATAGGTGTCAGGTTTGCAGCTACACATTGAAACAATGACAAAATGCTGTTCAAGATGACCCTTCCCTGGGGGAGTTCAACTGCAAAAAAAAAGCCAAAGACTGTGATCCACCTGTGAGGAAAAGAGGTGTGCAGGTGAGCCTTGCAGACTTGCTTGGAAAGCGTCAGTAGCCACATGCAAAAGCAATGCTAACACAGGGCCAGGGCTCTGAGCAGGAAGGGTATCGCAGCAGCACAAGGTCAGTCTGAAATACAGACAGAGCTGCTTCCACACAAATTTGTGCCTCACTTTAAAGAAAAAGAGGAAGCTCCTCAACTCACTATCTTCCTACTGTGCACTTGGAATCCCAGCTCTTCATCTCTTCTCCTCATAGCTTTCCTTGAAATGTGTATAGATAATCAAAGTCTGAGACATCAGACCTGTGTTGAAAATAAAGCACATGGCAATCATTTCTGGTTGCTCTCACTCTTCAGAATGCTTCCAGGTGCAGGGACTGAAGTGCTGTTATCAGATGAATACGTCTTTAAAAGAACTACATTTTCTGATTATTCCCAAACATCTGTGGTCACTACATTCAAGTATTTGTCTCTTCATATAAATGATTCACCAGTAAGACCTTCTCTGTTTTGCACAAGATTTTCCTGAAAGACTTGTCCTGTTTCTGTGCTGTCTCCTCCTTAGCTAATACTCAAATTCACTTTGTTCTTGGGAAAAAGAGAGATAGTGGTCACTCTTCATGTATAAATCTACACCAGGGTGCCCAACATTTAACTAATCTACCTCTAAATGGAAAGAAAGCAATTGTGAAATAACATTTTTGGCAAAAAAGACTGTACCTTCAGGAAGCATTTACCTTCAAGAAAAATTTATTGTGTATAACAGGATAACAATGATGTAATGGAGAGGGTTTGCTGCTGATGATTTTACAATATCATACTGAAGTATAATGTAAAAGTTAGTATAAAAATATGTAATACTTACAGACAGTCACATAAAAATAACTTCTAGAAATTAATATGAAATACCAGGGAAAAGAACTAAAATGAAAAAAAAAAAAGGGGAATTAAGGAAGTACCATAATGAAAGCCCAAACTGATAATTAGTACGCAAAAGAGATCAAAGGCCTCAATATTAAAGGCATTGCCTTTGTTCTGAGACAGCCATTTGAACACTTTATGGACTGAGAAATCTACATGAATAAAGCTTAACATTGGTGTGCAAATCTGCAAATGACTTTCCTGACAAATTTTCTGAAAATATCGTCTCCACAAGAGCTTTACTAGCCATCAAGAATACAAAGAATATAAGTGATCTTTCATACATAAAAGAACAAGCATTTGCAAGACACAACAATTGGGTTTACATGGAAAGGGCACCCTAGGGAAAAAACTATAGGGGCAAATTTTGAAAGCAAAGAATACCAGCATATACACGACTAGCAGTAGAGTTCTAACAAAATATATTACAGGATGAAGTTTAACAAACCACAATACATGAGGAAATCTAAGATTTGGTAAAATACATTAAGGCCAGGAAAGATCCACTGAGAGCCAAAATCAAGTTCTTCCTGTAAACAGGCTTACAAATCCTAATTTGTCATAGCACAGGAAGTCTCCTGAGTACTTGCAAATGAGAACACTGTTTCTTTCTCACTTTCCAATAGTAATCTTTTTTAAATACCTTGAGCAATTTACAAACTGGTTTTTTTTTTAAATTTATATCTCTGATGTGTGCTTCAATTATGTGTATAATTTGCTGAAGCAGGCCTGCAACACGTTCTACATTGATCAGCTGTGAATATGTCACAGTTCCATATCTACCTTCACAACCCACCCTCTTTTCTGCATTTTCTGTCTTGCAAAGTTTATTGAGAAATTTTCACAACTTTTGTTGTTACAAAACAAGGTAGATGTCCTAGGAGTTCATAGTTAAGGAAGACCAGCAAGTTTAAGTACTGGGAAGGAGAACTGGATATGTATTTTCTTTTCCACTTTTCTGTATCTTTCTATTCTTTTTCCACCTTTTCTATAACCACCTCCTTACATTGCCAAGCAGATGGATAGCTGATTTGGAGTTCCTAAGCAATTCCACCAGCTACTTCAACTTCTGTTTCCTTTCTGCATTCTGTTTACCAGATATAGCTTTGATTTGGTTGTACACCAGAGGCATTATGCCAAATGTATGCCCACAAAATGATGCAGTACAAAAAAAGGGAGCATCAACAAAGGAAACAACACATAATGACCACTAGCACTTCACAAAAAAGGCCAATTTTACTCTCCAAGAACATGTTTTTCCATCATGTATGTAGTTACCTTCACTGAAACAGCATCATTAAGCAAAGAGATGAACAAAGAGGTTTCCTCATGCATTTGTCTTCA